GGATCAGCCAGCTGCCATAATCAAGAATGAGAATGGCATGTTCACAATACGGAACCCGGCGCTTCATCAAGCAGTTACGAGTGGTCTAGCCTTGGGTGGTTATCGGCAATTCGGTAATGTAAGCTATTATACGCCACAAGAAGCTGCCGCTGAGGCTGTTAGAGCAAATCAACTGCAGCAACAACAAAACGCTACTAATCAAGTGATTTCGACAAACCACAATGGAGACGGCAGTAGCACATCTTCGTCATCGGCCTTTTCATATTTCTCGAATACCAGCTCGAATGCAAGCAGCGGTAATGCGCCAGCCTCCTCGTCTTCATCGGCCGGCAGTGTGGGTGCCAGTACAATCGGCAACACACACAACACCATCAGTATTAGTTGTACCAGCATAGATGAGCACGGGGGCAGCACATCTTTAACTGGTAGTGGTGGCGGCTTGACCGGTGACGCGGCTGTAATTGCACGACCGTCGCCACAACCAAAATGCATATCTGCCATTGGTAGTGAAATAAAGAACGCACAACAGCAAAAGCAGAAATGCAAAGAGAGCACGCCGCAGTGGCCTTCGTTCGTAGGTCAGGAGATGCAAAATCCTGGAATTCCGGGAGCAGAAAATTGTGAGTACATGAGCATTTCTTTTTTTTTTGGTAATTGACGCCGAGAGCTTTATTGTTGATTTGTTTACAACATTACTTTATTTATGCAACAACCCAGTAGATAATTTCAGGAACTAAAAGGCCCTTCAACTCTGCTTATGTAATACTTGAATGGCGCCTTATTTGTTTACATTTGTTCTGTTCTTATTTATATTCGTTTGTTCATGAATTAAAACATTTCTTTGTCGTTGTTTATCGTATCGGTATCGGCCGATTCTTTGCCTATAAGCCGATTAATCGGCATCACTATCTGAAAATAATTGGAATCGGTGAAACTCTACTTGCAAACGTTTTGGTACAGCGAACATATCCAAGCAGAAAAAAAAATCCGAAAAAGGAATGAAAAGTAGATGAAATGCGGGTTTTTGTCCGTTTACCGATTCCATTTTCGGATACTTAGACGATCCTTTTTCACATTAAATTGTGTTGCAGAAATGTATGTACAGGAAAGTACCGAAAATGCTTGTTGTTTTTTTTCTGAAATTTTTCGTTCAATACGCTTTCCTTCTGCACGTTACAGATGCTTTTTCATAATTCGAAAATATTTAACAAAAATAACGAATCTTTTTATTGAGTCTGACGGTATTCGAACCCGGCCGGCACCTACAAAAACTTAATTTTCTGTACGTTTCCGGATACGAAGAATATACGGTACGTTTCTCTGTCGGCTGGGCACACTCTTTAAGTTAACGGCTATTTGAAAATTGACATTTACGCGAAATTCCCGCTTTTACAATTTTTATGTAAGTTGTGTGCAATAATAGAATGGTGTTCGCTCGAAAATCGTGCCGTTGTAATTGGTCTGCAAAACTGCAGCTGCGCAAAATGCGAAATATTTGGGATGATGTGGCCACTGAAAATCAATCGAAATTTTGTGCAACGTACAGTGAAATTATACTAGGATACAGTGGAAACCATCTGGCTGTGCACGCACTTTGCGAACGCCAAAGAAAAATCGAATTCATCGAACTCCGCTGTGCAAGCAGAAAATCACTTCCGGGGAAATGTATATCAACAAGGACAGCATCTGATTTGAGACTCAGCGTATATAAGATATACCGGACACTTACTTTCAGAAGTGTTAAAACAAACGGTCCCAAATAAATTCTGTTTACTGATGATTAAATTTTCACTGCGGAATAATCGTTCAAAATAAACTGAACGATAGGGTGTATGCTTTTCGTCACAACGTACGTTCAACCTGACCATGTTGCGAACTTAATTTTCACAGATGATTGGCCATCTTGTACCCAGACCTCGATCGGCGCTATGCCTTGCACTACTCGACAGTCAAGTGCTGGGTCTTCGGAGCGCGCTTGTGCGAGCCGTGGAAAATTTCCCGTAGTATGAGATACTTACTGCAATCGATGAGTTGCCAAGCCGACTTCATAGCTGCTGGAAGGCAAATGGCGGCCATTTCGAAAATGGTGTTCCACAATCTGTATCCATTGGGTTGTAAAATAAGTAGAAAAAAGTTTTGGAAACGTTCACCCGTTTTTACTTTGCCACCATGTACCAAAACATTTGTTGTACCAACTAGTAAAACTGTCAAATAATAAAAATATGACCAGGGCGATTAGGATCCACTTTCCCAAGTATGCAATTGAATATACGTGGTTTCTTTTGTTTTTATTTTGTTTAATTTTTTTTTGTCAAACGTCTGCAGAATTGGTTCATCCAAAATACCGTTCAGGCAAAATCCTGATGTATTCTGCAATCACCATGTGAACAGCCAAAACTTATTTTTCGAATGTTCGCTTTTCAAAAATAAAACACTACCTCCAAGGTCACTTTGCATGCATTGGCTGGGGGCTTGGGCGACTATTTTCCGAAATATATCAGTGCGACAGACTTTTCGAAACTACTTG